TTTATCTACGAGTTTCTCGCAGCAATTATTTTTATTTCGTCTTCGAAGAAAATGCGATATATATCACTAGATTTACTAGGACTAGTTTCTTATATATACCCATCTTTACGAACACGCGTATTCGATGAACGAATACATACAACAACACTTAGAAAGCAATGTAATTATGTACTATAGGAAAAAATGTGAGATATATATTTATGGAAAGTTTTTGTTGTTCAACAATTTTATTATACATTATTTCAATATTCCACATCTCGTTTCGCACATCTTTTACACAAATACTCAATTTTCTTTATACCTTATCCTCTATATCTTATGCTCCTGTTTTTCCTTTACAATTTGGCAAATCTTGCGTTCTCCCGAAATTGATTATAATCAATGTTTCTCTTGTATTGTATTTTTTTCTTCTGCAAGTTCTTCGGCCAACTGAAAATCCTTTCTGGGTAATTTTGACCCAGTACACTCCGTGTACAAGATCCATGCGTTTATTGAGGTTAAATCTAAAATGTTGAAGAACATTTGGAGTGACCATCGAAAAGATGCCGATTTGGTGGTATATTTGCGAGCCATTTGGTTTACTGTCTCGACTCCAATCTTTGTTGCATTGTAACATGCTATTGTTTCTTGGGGGTATGTTTGGTAACAGCACATTTAGATTTGACTTACCTTTATATACAGTAAGTATGCATTTCCCTGATTTATATAATGTTCTGAAGAACATTACAACATCATTTTATCTTTATTCCTTCGTAGAGGCAAGTTTATATCATTATTTATAAATGTATATAATGTTAAAATTAAAAATTTAATAATTTATATAATAATTAATTATTGAAAATTTGTTAATTTTTTAAATAAACAACTTAGTTAGAGTATAAATAAAAATTCATATGATTTATTAACAATAAATTGCTAATTTTTTAGCTTTAACTAATTTTAAAATTTATGATACGTTTTATTATTATTATTATTATTATTACAAAGAAGTAAGTTTTTACTTTTAATTTCGACTTAATGATCGATTTGTTTAAAATCCTTTATAAAATAATTATTAAAGTTTTAATAATTATATTCAATTTAAATAATTATCTATTCGTTCAAAAATTAAAGTAATAATTGAATTAATAATTGATTTTAAATAAAAAATTATTGGTAAAATTAAAAATAATTTCCACATCAAAAATTAAAAATATATATATATATATATATAACTTTCTGGTTGAAATCATTCTTCATCTGCTTTCAAAACACGATGCGCTTCTTCTTCAGTACAACTCTTTATAACGTTCTATCATTTTTTTGGTTATAATCAAATGAAAAGCACTGCTTCCATAACATTTTGTTGTGCGCAGTGAGTAGGCCCAGTGATGTCGTTGAAGATTTCGTGGAAAGGATATTGGCCACTTTCAATTTCGTCCAAAATTGTTCCATCGGCCGCTCTTTCTTTATCACAGAATGCATTCGAATTTTGGAACGTAACACTTTGTCTCATTCTCAGATCCTCGTTTTGAATCTTCACTTTCATCCTCTTCAGAACACTCCTCCAGAAATACTGACTATGTTTCGTGAAATTTTATTTCCTCTTCTAGACATATTTAAATGATAAATATTATAAAATTGAGGCTCAGAAATATTACTATTACATTCAAAAAAAAATATTCAAATATTTTATCTTTTCAATACTCGAACTGAAAACCAACTGAAACGTTCAAAATCTCTGACATCGATTGATCAATTCTGCGTTTAGTTCTTTCTATTATTGCTTATCGGCAACAGTTGTCTAACTATTTGTTTATTTGAGATAACGATAACGGATCGAAGTATCGCCGGTGCATTCCTATTTATTATTGATGTCAATTTTGCATATTCACTCAAAATTTCGTCTAAAGTTACGATCGCGTCAAATAAACTTCAATATATGTTTATCTCGATCAATGGATAAATGTATAATCGACAACCGATCGAGAGAAATGCGACCAACGTGCGGTTTGACCTTAACGGCTTAAACGGATAACGTGGATCGAATCCGATTCGAAGAATCGAGGCGTTCCATTGGAATGCGCTCGTACCAATTTTCCCTAGATTGCCGGGGTTCACTTGCGTGTTCGCAAGGACCGCGAACCCGTTGAATTCGATCGATTCGAGTTGCACCATTTCCCGAATTTGTCATTGATATATATGTGCATAATGCATAATTTGAACGAAATTTGCCGTCGAACTTGCGATTTATTTGAAAGAAAAAAAGGGAAATTTAATAAAGATATTTTTTTTCAAAAATCTATATTTATAAAGAGAATACATTTAAAAAGTTTCCATTCGATAATTTGTTGAACATTTGTCGTCTTAATTATCGAGATGAATATCAACACATCACGTGTCGTTACCTCTCTCGAGAAAAAAAAAAAAAAAAAAAAGGAAGAAAACATATGCAAAGGTAATCCAACCATAAAGGTAAAGCAAAACGTGAGCGAAGAGAAAAGAGGTAATAATCGCATGCAAATAGGAAGCGTTGTATACTAGCATCATCACTCGCGGACGGAATACTAAATACAAAAGACGCTGTGTGAAAGAGAGTTAATTTATTCCATCTTCGATATTTTCTTTCGAATTCTCAGCTCCGACGCGCGAAACCGCGTTTCGAATATCTTGAAATGTATACAAAAAAAAAAAAAAATATTTTATTTTTCGAAACGTTAAAAATAAGATAAAATAAAAAAATACTTCTCTTTAAAATTCTCTTTCGTAACTTACGATTAAAAGAGAAAAAAAAAAAAAAAAAGAAGAGAGAGAGAAGAAAAAAAAATGAAAAATGATTTCATTGAAAGCAGTAGAATGAAAAAAGAACAAGAATTTAAAAAAAATAAAAACCAATATAAATATCGAATATAAGAAATATCAAGGTCCAAAGGATTTCGCGCGATTTTCTTTAATATTCAAAGGCGACACGAACACAAGGAAACGGAACCGTATGCAAACAAGCTCCAAGGACGAGCTGTACATATGTCGTCGCTTTTACGACCGCCACCGATCGCCGAAAAGTTATCGACATTCCTATACGATACACGTAGTCAACAGTCAACATACCGAGCGTATGTTTCACTTACTTTTTGTCCGCCTACATAAGATTATGTCACTGTTTCCATTTTCTTTCTTCTGTTTGGAATCCTTTTATACATGTACATCCCTCTATTTGTAATGTTTACTACATTTGCGCGAAAATTGAAGATATTTAAATATCGATAATATAATTCGTTTTTAATACTTTACGCGACACTGTACACGATAAAATATACAATGACGCGTAATAAAAAAACGAATATAAAACTCAAGTAATAAAACTCAAAGAGAATTTATAATATAGATTTTTTTATGAGATATCGTGTTATTATACGACACTTAATGTGATAAAAATGATTTTTAAAAACTAGAATGTAATAAAATTTATAAGAATAAGTAAAATAGATCGAATTATTTTATTAATAGCAGATAAAAAAAACAAGTTCACAATTTATAGATCGCGAAATAATCAGCAATCACAATAGGAAAGTCTCGTCGATATTACAATCTTATTTTGATTTTGTAATGTGAGACACGTGATATATATATATATATGGCACATACATTGAAACAATATCCATCATAGATTTATCAATAATTAAGATTAACGTTGTAATGATTAATGGAAAGAAATTTGTTTTGATAAATTTATGATACGTACGTTGCAAATGAATTTTTTAATAGACAGATAGAAACAAAAAAGAAAGTGTTTATTTATAGCGAGAAAAAAGATGATTTTTTTCAAATTCCGATTTTAGAAACTAAAGAAAAATTTTTGTTTCTAATAATGAATAATCTATTAACAATAAATATTTTATTAATATAACAAAATAAATATTTAAAAAAGAATCAATTTGCACTGTTCTTTGTATCTATAATAATGACAATATATTCCGATAAAAATAATTCGAAATCATAATATGATTATTTGTTATCAATGACTAATATATAATAAAAAAAAATTGATAGATAAGTAAATATTGAAACTAAAAACACAGCAATTGCAATTCCATTAACAAACAACTTGCAAAAAATCGCGAGTCTTTTGATTCCTTTGCGAAACAATTTTTTCTGAGTATTAGTTGGGAAGCGCAGGAATCTAATGTTCATCAAAATAGTCAAATAATTATTCTAATCGTTTCAAAAAATTTCAATAGAAATCTGAAATTGAACATAACAAATAAAGAAATTTTAGCAAATCCATTTTTATGGAAATAGAAAAAATTTTCAAATGACGCGATTAAAATTTTCGATAATATATAAATTTGACAAAGTATATATTTAAACAATGATTATAATGGCTAAATGACTTAATAGGCTAGTCGACTGTTGATTCGAGAATCGATAAATGAAATTCCAAAGATATCGAGAAATATGGATTTCAGGAAAATATTTTTCGAAAATAAGTTATAGTAATTGAATGCAAATTTATTTAAATGAAAATTCAATTACCATAAATTATAAATTTTCCATTGATTATATTATTTGTTCAACCATCTATCCTATCATACACAATAATCTAAACAAATTTAACGTTTAAATTTTTAATATTCCTTCAATAAATCAAAAAAATTTCTTAAATATGTTGTATACCTTATAAAATGCATGAAATTGCAAATTAATTTTAAATGAATTTTATCTAAATCCATTATCTAAATTTTGTCCTTAATTGTATATACAACACATATGCGATCCATTCTAATAAATCGTAAATATTTGGTCCATGTTTCGCGCATAGTATCGCGCACTTTCTAACGCAACAACAAAATAAGTAATAAAACTAAATAATATTTTTCTACTTGTTTCCATTTTCCATAAAAATTACGAATATGCATAAAATTTTCTTTATGATTAAACAAGTAACAGATTGCCATCCATTTCAATATATTATCGATAGCTATTCCAATAATATATAAATAATTTAAATTAAATATACTGACTGTATGGCGGTTTCTCTGTTTCCCAGATGAGCGTGCCACGATGAAAGTAGACTCTACACCGTTTCTTTTTCACTACGAATGTGTTCAGGAGCACTGTCCTGGAAGATTGGTCTGAAATCTCCTGCATCATATTGACGGCTGACTTTGGCTGCCTTTCCAAAGGTAGCTCTTTCAACGAAGAGATTGTACAAATGTCATCTCCACACTGATCGATTTATGATATATAAAATAATTAACACGAAAATGAGAAACAATTCTCACGAATGGAACACAAACAATTAGAATACGCAACGACCTTGCTCGCTCGTAGCTCGAGCACAACTGCACGATCGACTTACCGTGAATCGTGTCAAACCGTAAAGGTTCGGCTTTCGTGATGGATAGTGCCTTCAATCGGACGTTTCTCTAACTACAAATACAAAACTCACTTGATCACTAATTTTAATTAAAAATAAAATACAATATAGATTTAATATGCAATATATTTTACTATTTGGTTTAAAATATAGATGAAAGAAGAAGATAAAAGAAAAATTTGATTATTCATCTTTGATTAATATTTTAATTAAATTTGATATATAATTTAATAAAGTTATAAAATAATAAGATGTTCTAAAATATACTTTATTTAATTTTACATGAAAATTTTAATCATTATTTATGTTACAATCTTATTTTATACCAAATCGGTAATATTGAAACATCGATAGTAATACCATCTATCGGATGGTTAATTTTATCATGTAAGGATAATATGGATACCTGATAAATATCTCTGTATTCTGGTTTAAACGCGCTAAAAATATCCCTGCATGAACGTAACTCGTTATAAAAGATCATTAATAATTCTATTTTTTTATTTAAAGCAAGTTATTACTTCATTTTTTTACGTAATATTTTAAATAAAACATCCTATGTTATGTTATTTAGATATGGTGTAAATCATATGGATAATTTCACTAACAATTTATTATTATTGACACTTGGTTGGGGCCCAAGAATATTCCATTCTTCCCTGAATACGACAAACGTGAGGCGACATGACATTTTGTTGGTGACGCGACAACTTTCTGATATCGAACCATATCTACTAAACAAGTATACATTGTCTCTATACTTTGCAGAATAGTATCCCAATTATTGCTTAACGTTTAGTGTTTCAGAAAATCAATCTTAGAGTACAAAAAAGAACGAGTGAAAGTGACATGAATCAAAAATTGTTGTAGACATCGCATGTTCGCGAACTTGGAATGACGCAGACATCGTGATGCAGACTGTAACGTAAAATTTTATGAATTCAAAGTTGTATAGTTACAACATTTGTGTGAAATTCTAAAAAACAATAACTCATTGATTGAAAAAATAATTTTTTATCAAAGTTAAACATGTTTTTATTTTAATAAAGATTACTTTTTTTTTCTAAATAAAAAAATATTACTTCATTACAAAAATAACGTACATATAAAGAAAAACTATGGATGAAACTAGAAATTACATAAATTTAGTATTAACAGTTAAAAAATATCCAGCGTTATATGATCTTAGTTGCAATGATTACCATAACAAAGTTGTTCGAAATAAAATGTGGAGAGCAGTGGCGCAGGAAGTAAACGCTTCTGGTAAGAATTTTTCAAAAATATATCTTTCAAATTCTTATGAAAATTCGACTGTATATTTAAATTTGGACGTTTTTTTCATAGCCGCAGAATGTAAAGAAAAATGGAAGAATCTCCGTGCCAGTTTCAGCAGACATTTAAGAAATCAAAATACAGCAAATTCAAAATCGAAAAAACCGTATTACATGGCAGATTACATGGATTTTTTACTTCCTTATAGCAAACTTCGTAGGTAACTAATGTAGAAAATATAGAAAAATTAGTAATAATTCATGTAAGTTAAGAAACTATATTCTTAATATAATTTTTTTTCCCATTATTTTTAGGGCGGATGAAAGTTTGAACGAAGAAGGACCAATCGCACAAGAAAATTGGAATGAAGAGGAGACCACTTCCGATACGTCCTCTAATTATCAAAAATTAACAAATCCGATCAAAAGATGCCGGAATCAGAAAGAGATGGAGACACGAGAAATGAAGAATATGTGTTTTCGAGAAGTAAAGCGATCAGACATGCAGAAGATAGACTATTGTCACATAGATGCTCAGATAATTGTATTCTCACCAATAGGCGAGATCTTGACGAATCAATCAACGATGCAGACTTATTGTTCTTTAAAAGTTTACTTCCAGATATGCAACAGATGACAAGTCAAGAAAAAAGAAGCTTTAAAATATCTGTATTGGGTTTAATCGATAAAATATTAAACGAAAAGGAATCGGCAATGTCGGTCGAAAATGATATTTCTTGTTCAATAGTAAAAAATCAACAAGATGAAAGAACAGATGAGTTTTAAGTTAAATTTTTTATAAACAAAATGTTTGTAATAATATAGATTGATTAAAGTATGTTTAACAAAATAAAATGTATTAAAATTTGAGAAAAATATTATATATATTTAAAAATAATTTATGAATTATAATAATAATAGATTATCAAATAAATATATTCCCATTTCCATTATTTATTTTCGTTATTTCATAAATTTGCAAAAGATTTTGGATAAAAATAAACAAAAAATTAATTGATCAAACAATTGTCTCAATAAAGTTGAGAACCACTGAATAATGCTGATTGGTGAGACGAAACAACGCGGCATCTTCGAGTCAACAGAAGAAATTAATGAAAATTGAATGTACATATTATGCCAAAAGATTCGATTATTTCCGGATAATATACAAAAACAACCGAATTCAACAGAAATATATTTGAATATATTATATACACAATATATGAATAAATGCATGATCCAACAAATAAATTGCTTTCACAAATCCTATTTTGCAAGAAATTCTATGAAAAAATTAGCAACTTAAGAAAACAAATTAATGTAAGCTGGAATTTTCATTTATTAAATATTAAATAGTGAATATTCTAATTTATTATATTTTTTAATTATTTTTAAACATGGAAAAATGTATTTATAATTTTTATCAAAATAAAAAATGATTGGTATATATATATTGGTATATATTAATTTTTATGATAAAAGTACATAGAAAAAATTTTTTTGAACATTATTGTATAATTTTATTTTTAAAATCCCGCCATTGTTTCAATTGAATATGAAGGAATTTTAAAACAGATTGTACTTTCATTGGCGTATATCTAAATTTTTATTATTTTATATAAATTTTAATCTAAAAAGTTTTACTTTAAACAATAAATTCAAGATCAATTCTAATAGAAGAATAACATATTCAAAAATATCCAAGTATCAATTAAAAAATAAATATAACGTTTTAAAGATTTTTTGACTGATGTAACAATAAAATTTTTAATTTTTTATAGAAAACATATACCAATTATTATGTAGATATAAAAATTAGTACTTATTAATCTAAATTCTTTTCTCAATTACTCGATGTCATAATCTCAATACGCTTAGAAAATAATTTTCCACTGTGGTTTTGAACTTATCAAGAGCAAAGTATATACACGTCACGAAGGCACACTTGTCGCATCAGTTCGTAACCCGATAAAATTCGGCATGTGAATAAACACGGGTGAAATGTCATTATAAGGACGTACCTGGAAACTAAGTGAGAAGTGCGCAGACGTGAATTCGAAAAGGCCAATCAGAATACAGCAATGCCATGGTAGGGACATTGGGGGGGCTCTTGGTGGCCTTGCGCGTTCTTCCGATTCCGTGAATGCTGGAGGCGCGTCCATTTTGTTAGCAAGTACGATCCCGGTTAGTCGACGCCGGTGCAAAGTATAATTCTCGTTTGCGACGAGTTCGTGTTACGAGTAGTAAGGGTTACGAAGACCAGTGGCTGTCTGTCGGCGGCGTTCGTAGATTCGTGTCTACGTAACGTGAGCACAGAGAGCGCAGCTGGCAAGTGTGAGAACCTACTTGTAGATATCGCGCAAGAATCAGAGAAGCCGTTGGAAGAGAGTCATTGTACAGGGCCGCGAAACACGTCGCGTACCCGGTTCGTCGGTAGTTTAGTTTTAACAAGATGGCGGAACTACAGGGAACCCCGGTTGCTCAAGACGCCCTGTCCGTAGCTCAGTTAGAGCTCGGTGGAAATCCGAACGCCTTGGCTTTGCGTAGGCCATTTGATCCTGTGGCACATGATCTCGATGCGACCTTCCGCCTTACGCGGTTCGCCGACCTAAAAGGATGAGGGTGTAAAGTCCCTCAGGAGGTTCTTGGGAAACTCCTCGAGGGACTACAGGCCGACGATGGTAGCGCACAAGATCATGAACATGCCCATTTTATGCACATGGCCATTCCACGCATCGGTGAGTAGATTGCTTTTATTGCGCGCGTGTACGCCATCCTGTGCCGACATGTTTGATTTTATACCGCGTCTTAGCTTCGCGGTTTTTACATATTTGTGATTGTTACAAATTATGCAAATATAAATGATTGAATATTTTTATTTCTATTATAAAATTACTTTTTAAATTATTTGTCAATTATTTTTATTCAAAAGAAAAACTGTATTACGACAAACTATTACAATGTAGTTATGGAAATTTTTCCCGGCTAAAATTTTCCATATCTCATTACTTGATAATAATAATAATTAAATATCATTCGTTATGTATATAGTATAATTATAAAATATTTGTATTTATTATGAGAATTTTGACTGTAAACAAACAATTTTATTAGAAAACATAGGGCACAAATATTGCAATAGGCAGCCCTATCATGTCAGCAGCCATGTTATCGTCTCCCGCCTGTTTTCTCCCACGCCACCGGAAATACAAATGTTCTCAACTTGCATTCGAACAATTACAAAATAATATTAGAATTATAAATATATAAATATCAATATTTAAATATATTTTTCACAAAAAATGCATTTGAATAAATCTTTTACAAATATTGAAATATTGAAGAAAAATATATCTATATATAATATATAATATCTATATAAAATATATATATATATTTTTTTTAATTGAATATATAAACATTAAACACAATTTACATTTTTTATTTTAGGCATTGGCATGGATTCCTCCGTGACTCCACTGAGACATGGAGGGCTTAGTTTGGTACAAACAACAGATTTTTTTTATCCATTAGTTGATGATCCTTATATGATGGGTAAGAATAATATTCAATAATAATTTCAATAATATTATGCAATTTTATCAATTGTATTTCTTGTTTTATGTACATATACATTCATAAATTTAAATATTAGAATTCCTTTTTTTTATTAAGAATAAAATTTGTTTATTTTATGATATTTTGTTTTACCACTTTATTGGAGTACTTTTACAGGTAAAATTGCATGTGCAAATGTTATCAGTGATCTATATGCTATGGGTGTTACTGAATGTGATAATATGCTGATGCTATTGGGAGTCAGTACAAAAATGACTGAAAAGGAACGAGATGTTGTTGTTCCTTTGATTATGAGAGGATTCAAGGATTCTGCTCTGGAAGCTGGCACAACAGTAACAGGTGGTCAAACAGTTGTTAATCCTTGGTGTACAATAGGTGGAGTGGCTTCTACTGTTTGTCAACCAAATGAATATATTGTGTATGTATTTTAGAATAAATGATATATGTAATTTTATCATTTCTTTGTAAATAATAATTATTTATAGTCCAGATAATGCAGTAGTAGGTGATGTTCTTGTTCTGACAAAACCACTTGGAACTCAAGTTGCTGTGAATGCTCATCAATGGTTAGATCAACCAGATCGCTGGAACAGAATCAAACTTGTAGTCAGTGAAGATGATGTAAGAAAAGCTTATCAAAGAGCAATGGATAGCATGGCCAGGCTTAACAGAATAGGTATGTATTATTTTTGTATGTATTATTGTATTATTAAACTATATTATATATTATAAAAATCAAAAGATAAAAAAATAAAATGATTTATTTTTTTGATTCCATAGCGGCGAGATTAATGCATAAATATAATGCACATGGAGCAACAGATGTAACAGGCTTTGGCCTTTTAGGACATGCACAAAATCTAGCTAAACATCAAAAGAATGAAGTTTCCTTTGTTATTCATAATTTACCTGTTATTGCTAAAATGGCAGCTGTAGCAAAAGCGTGCGGTAATATGTTTCAACTTCTGCAAGGTCATTCGGCGGAAACTAGTGGTGGATTGCTCATTTGTTTGCCTAGAGAACAGGTTTGTAATCAATCCTTTGTTTTTTGGTCAAATCCTGTTAATACAGTAGAATATAGTATTCACCATTATGTATTCTAAAGAAAAGCAGGAAGAATAACAGAGATTTCCATACTGATTTGCTATTATTGCATCTTAGTGCCGTCGACTCTCTTACATTTTTTTTCTTATTTTTAATTATGTTTTAATAAATTATTTGTTATCAATCGAATTTTATGGTTTACAAATAATTTCAGGCTGCTGCATATTGTAAAGATATCGAAAAACAAGAAGGATATCAAGCATGGATTATTGGTATTGTGGAAAAAGGAAATCGTACAGCCAGAATAATTGATAAACCACGAGTAATAGAAGTGCCAGCTAAAGAAAAAGATGGAGAGCTTTGGTAAAAGATTAAGGATGTTGATGAAACATTTTTTTTATTTACCTTCATATATTTAGGAAAAACCACATGCAACACAGAAAACACGCATTTACATAGATCAATATTACCATACCAGATACAAAACACTTAATGTGCATCATTATTACGGGACAAACAAATTTTCAATTTTTCATTGGATAAAAATTTGATATACTCGTAATAATTTTGATTATATTTTCTATCCTATGGGTTTTGAAAAAGAGATATAGTAATAACGACTTATACTTATGTGTTATCTTTATTGAAGTTGGATCCTAAGTTTTACCTTAGGAAAGTAACGTTTCTCTTTTTTTTCTTGTTCTTTTTTTTGTCGAAAGTTAGCAGTGCTCTATAATAAAACATTTGTAAGATGTTCATAATAGTCTTTGCCGACAATTATGAACATTTATCCAAAATAATTTGATATAAAAAAGAATATGAGGAAGCAAAGAGAAATAAAGAATATAAAGAGTTTAGGTATAGTTTCTTTTTTTTTCTTTTTTTTTTTTTTTCTTTTTTTTTTTTTTTTTTATTTTTTTTAAGATTTAAGACTTAATACTAAGTACTAAGTAATAGCCTCAGGTAGCACTAGGCTCAGACTAAGCTTCAACTACATTTGATCAAACTTGCAATATGTCGAATGACATTTGGGTGCTTAGTGTTAATGAAGAATGTTAAGATACATATAAATAATAGTTCGTGATTACAAAGATCTATAAATATATTTTAAGGACATATACAATATCACAAAAAGAAAAAAATGATTTTAATAATATATTTTACATCACTTTAATTCATGGAATAGAAAAAAAAATCATTTAAATTATAGTTATATAGATGCAAATTTGTAAACAGAGAGACATTACTATCCTTGTAGTACACAGTGACAGGCTTTTAATGCCAACGAAATTTCCACAATTTGTAATTTTGATCTACCTGTTACATAGAATGCGTAAGATGTCCAAATGAAAAAAGGCCTTCTCTAGTTTTCTCGTTACATACGCTTTTGAAAATAATTATAAAAAAAATAAGGAATACAAGAAATCGAGCACAGGCCCTAATGTTGTATTACTTTTTCATATGAATAAAGTGCTACTTTGTCAATAAAAATTATATGTTGTTATTATCATCAAATTATTTTCAGTAAATTTTAATTTTATTTTAACATATTTAAAATAATGTTTGGTACCATGAATTCATCAATGCAAAGTACGTAAAGAAAAATTCATATTGCGGATCTATATACATTTGCAAGGTAGCCAACAATCGAAGCAGAAAAAAACTAAACCCTTCCATTCATTGGATAATCAGTTATCTAACGATTCGGCAACTGGTCGCCATCGCGGTTCATAGGTCACATTATAGATAGAGTATCACAATATGTATCAAAGAGTTATAATTGTCATTACATTCAAGTGTAAACCTTCGTCGAAAGAAAAAGTATAAAATAAAAGAATCTATTTAGATTTAATATATTTTTTTGGAGTTTCTTAAAGTGTCGATTTAATGGTAGCACTATCCACGTGGTGTGCCAAGGCTGCGGCTTTCAGGGCCGTGATATTAGGTGCCCCTGCTTCTGGTAAGGGCACCATGTCAGCTAGAATTGTTGAACAATTTAAATTAACTCATATATCAAGCGGCGATAAGTTAAGACTTCATATGAATAATAAAACTGGTATGTTTGAAATCATAAATTGTTTGTTATGTTTTTACGTTGTGGAGTCATTTTAATAAAAAATAATAAAATCAATCATTTTCATATCATTTGATCGAAAACTTTTGCATACCATTTGTTTGTTAAAATAGATTTGTCAAAAATCGATTTTTCAGTTTTAAATACATATATATTGTCGATGTATTTGTATGTATGCATATACTTTGTCTTGAAAGTATGATTGAAATGTTGATTTATTTCATGAAATAAAGCATGAAATATATTTTTTTCTTTAATATTTCTTAACCAGATTAAAATTATCCTCGTTTAATTTTACACATAATATTTATACTACTTGGATCCTCTAACAGTTACGTGACTGATTGAATGATTGAAACTGATTCATATTAACTGGTTGAATGAAAAGCATACTACTTATTTATAATCATTCATTTAAATATTTGGATCGTATTCGGAAATACATTGCAACATTATTTATTGCTAAATGGTATAAATTTCCTATCCGTGTTTTAATAACTGTGGCGTTATTATAAATTATTGATATTGAAGTACAGGAAATTAATCTGATATAATATGAATACTCTTTATTATTCTAGTCGCGTTAATATAGATTTTTTTTAGCTTAATTAATACAATACACATATTTATATATACTAATTTATTCAACATTTTTATTTTTATAGATAACTTAAAATTTTTTTTTTAATTATATAAAATTATGAAATACAATTAAATTATATACCATTTATGTTTTTATATATATAAATATATATTATATATATATATATATATATATATATATATATACTATATA